TGAATGAAATAGAGAACAAAAGACTATACAAATATTAATAGAACAAAGAGATGGTTCTTTGAAAAGATTAATCAAATTGACTAACCCCTGGTTAGACTTACTAAGGAAAAAAGAGAAAAGACTGATATAAACAAAATCAGAAACGAAAGAGGAGAAGTTATGCCCTGGCCAGTTTGACTCAGTGATTAGAGCATTGGCCTGCGGTCTGGAGAGACCAGGGTTCGGTTCCCACTAAGGGCACGTACCTCAGTTGCAGTTTGTCCCCGGCCCTGGTTGGGTCATGTGGATGGCAACCATTCGATGTGTCCCTCTCTCTCTCCCCTCCTCCCACTCTATCTGAACAAAATATCAAAAAATGTCCTCAGGTGAGGATAAAAAAAAAAAAAAGAAAAAGAAAGAGGAGAAGTTACCAAGAACATCACAGATATACAAAAGATCATACTAGAATACTATAAAACTATATGCCACCAAATTCAATAACCTTTTTAAAAGAAATGGATAATATCCTAGAAATATATACCCTTCCTAGACTGAATCATGAACAAATGGAAAATTTAAATAACCCAATCAGCAGTGAGGAAATTGAAACCGCCATCAAAAACCTTCCCAAAATTAAAAGTCCAGAACTAGATGGCTTCACTAGTGAATTCTACCAAACATTCAAAGAAGACTTGATACCTGTTCTTCTCAAACTCCTCAAAACAACTGAAGAAGAGGCAATAATTCCTGACACATTTTATGAGGCCAACCTTGATAGCGAAATCTGGTAAGGATAACAAACAAAGAAAACTACAGACCAATATCTCTGATGAATACAGATGGAAAAATCCTAAATAAAATACTAATAAATCAAATATAACAATACATTACGAAAATAATACGTCATGATTAATTAAGGTTCATTCCAGTGATACAAGGATGTTTCAACATATAAAAATCGAATAATATAGTATACCACATTAACAAAAGATAAAATTATATAATCTTATCAATAGATGCAAAAAAAAAAAAAACATTTAATAGGATATAACATCCATTTATGATTAAAACCCTCAATAAAACAGGTACAGAAGAAAAGTGCCTCAACATAATAAAAGCTATATGTGACAAATGCTCAGCCAATATCATACTCAATGGCAAAAAAAAAAAGAACAGGAACAAGGGAACAAGACAGAGATGCCCATTCTCACCACTCTTATTCAACATAGTTCTAGAAGTCCTAGCCAGAGCAATCAGGCAAAAGAAAGAAACAAAAGGCATCCAAATTGGGAAGAAATAAATTAAAATATCATTTTTTTTACAGATGACACGATTTCTATATATAGAAAACCCTAAAGACTCCACCAAAAAACTATTAAAAACAATGAATACAGTAAAGTAGCAGAATATAAAGTCAATGTATAAAAATCCACTGCTTTCTTATATATTGACAATAAACTTCAGAAAAAGAGATGAAAAAAATTCCTTTTGCAATTGCAACAAAAATAATAATAAAATACCTAGGAATAAAATTAACAAAGGACATGATGGACTTATATACTAAAAACTACAAAGCATTATTAAAAGAGATTGAAAAAGACATAATGAAATGGAACAATATTTTATGTTCATGGACTGGAAGATTCCACATAGTTAAAATGGCCATATTACCCAAAGCAATATACAGATTTAATGCAATCGCCATAAAAATGCCAATGTCATTTTTAAAGATACAGAACAAAAACACATTAAAATTGTATAGAACCACAAAAGATTCCCGTCATAGCAATTCTGAGAAAATTGAACTAAGCTAGAGGTATCACACTACCTGACTTCAAATAATACTACAGGGCTACAATAATCAAAACAGCATGGTACTGACCCCCCCCCCCCAAAAAAAAGAAGAAGACACACAGACCAATGGAACAGAATTGAGAGCCCAGAAATAAAACCACATGTATATGATATTATGTAAAGAGCCGAGGTTCAAGAAAACCTCAGCATATTGCTTGCCAATTTCAAAGAGATAATCTGGAGGACTGGCTGTGAAAGACATGGGTTTGTTAGGACTTCTGTGTACACCAGTGGTGGCTGGCCAGTGAAGTTTTCCATAACACAGGCTTTCACAGTACAGGGTTATATAGAGTACAGAAAATAAAGTAAACTGGGCATGCAGCAGGGCACATGCTTGTGAGCAAGCTATGGTGTGTGAGATCAAGATGCTAGCTGTTTCTCTGCAGTTGTTTATAGTCTGGGCTTACATCTAGAAACAGTTTCTGTTTGGCAATTTCTTGACTGAGGAGCTGGCCAGGCTCCCAAGTTCGGTGCCACAGTACTCATACAGATAACCTTCACTATATTCCCACAGGGTGGGAGGGGGAGTTAGAGCTTGGGAAGGGGCCCATGTTCTCACATACCATACAACATGAACAAATAATTTTCGACAAAATAACCAAAACACACAATGGAGTAAAGAAAACCTCTTCAATAAATGGTACTTGAAAAATTGGAAAGCCACATGCAAAAGAATGAAATTATATTACAGTTTATCTCCATGTACCAAATTTAATTCAAAAGGGATCAAAGACCCAAATATAAGATCTGAAACAATAAATTACATAGAAGAAAACATAGGTACTAAACTTATGGACCTTAGTCGTAGAGAGTATTTTATGAATTTGACCCCAAAGGCAAGGGAAGTAAAGGTAAAAGTAAATAAAATGGGACTCTATCAAACTAAAAAGCTTCTGCATAGCAAAAGAAATTGACAACAAAATAAAAAGGCAACCAACTGAATGGGAAATGCTATTTGCAAACAATAGCTCTGACAAGAGGCTAATATCCAAAATATATAAAGAACTCATATAACTCAACACCAAACAAACATACAAACCAATTGAAAAATGGACAGAGGACCTGAACAGACACCTCTCTCAAGAACAGATACAAATGGCCAACAGATATATGAAATGATGTTCAACTTCACTAGCTACAATGAGATACCATCTCATGCTTGTTAAAATGGCTACAATCAACAAGACGTGTTGAAGAGGTTGTGGAGAAAAAGGAACCCTCATTTGCTGCTGGTGGGAATGTAAACTGGTACAGCCACTATGGAAAACAATATGGCGGTTCCTCAAAAAATTAAGAATAGTTATCATATGACCCAGCAATCCCTCTTCTGGGTATCTACCCAAAAAACTTGTAAACATTTATTCACAAAAATATATGATATGTATCCCTATGTTCACTGCAGCATTATTTACAGTGGCCAAGACATGGAGATAACCAGTGTCCTTTGATAAATGAATGGATAAAGGAGATGTGATACATATATACTATGGAATACTACTCAGCCATAAGATGAAATATTTCCATTTGTGACAACATGGATAGACCTTGGGAGTATTATGCTAAGTGAAATAAATCAGTCAGAAGAAACTAAGAACCATATGATTTCAGTCATACATGGGATATAAAACTGAAACTCATAGACACAGACAACAGTATGGTGGTTACCAGAGGGAAGGGGGTGGGGTGTAAAGGGATGAAATATTTGATGACAGAACATGATATGACTTTGGGTGGTGGAGACAATGCAATATATAGATCATGTATCATAGAAATGTACACTTGAGACCTGAAAGATCATATTAACCAGTGTCACCCCAATAAATTTAATTGAAAAATAAAGTCTCAATACTCAGTTAGAATTTAATTGCTCCCCCATAATCTTTATATATGTCCTTAATACTGTTTTCCTATCAACCTTACAGGTCTTGCAAAATTTAAGCTATCTTCTCAAACCCCAAACCTATTTCACACTGGTGTCTACACCACTGAAAAAACTCAAGTCCATCAAGTAAAAATATCTAACTTCTGTCTCTGACACTCACACACTTAGTTTCTTCACTGTCTGTCCTTCTATCCAGTCTCCATGGAAGAGGTGTTCTTAGTGATAGCTTTAGCTAATCTTTTCATTTGAAGTATAGCTTTAACTCCCTCTTGTTTCCTCAGGAATCTTATTCTGCCAAACATCCACTGTCTCTTTCAAATCCTCAACCTTACATTCTTGAATGTTCTAAAATGCCACCAATTCTAGGAAGCCTTCTTTGCTCCAGAGTGGGTTAGGTTCCTTTGTTTATGTTTCCCTTTGTCTTAGCACTTATCAAACTATACTGTCATCACTGATTTTCTTTTCCATAAAAGAAGAAAGAGAGACTATATCTGATTCAACATAGTCTCCTTAAAACCTGGCATATTGCCTGGCCCAATGTTTGTTGATGAAAGAAGAGTGAATGGATAGAAACAAATGACTAGGAGTGGCAATCAAGTGAAATTAAATGCATAAACACCAATGGAAGAGAATAGTCTTGAATTTTAACTTTCTTGAGGGTAAAACATTTTATGTGCTTTTGAAACCAACTCAGTGTCTGACATAGTATACAGAACATTGTTAGGTATTTGGTAAATATTTGTTGATTGTTCTGATAACATAGTTAAAGCCTCAGTGAGGCTGTCTGCCTTATAACTGTAAGCCCTTGCACCACCCCTTACTAAGGAAAAATCTGTACCTTTCTTTGTTCTTATAAAAGGTATATTTTCTTAGATATTATTTTCTCTACCTGGATGCCCTCCGCAACCCACTGTTCTGTCTGGCAAACTCCTATTCATCCTTCAAAACTCATCTTCAAATGCTGCCTATTTCTGGATACCTGTCCTGACTTCAAAATAGAGTTAAGCACTTTTTCCTCTGTGGCCTGTGATGCCTTGTTCTTCCATGAAATATTTAACAATTTGATATAATTATTTGTACACTTTGAAGGCAGAGATAATATTCTAATCACCTTTGTAGCCCTAGTCCCCTAGCACAATATCTGGAATACTTATTTCTTAATGAAAAGAGATTTATGCCATATTCAACTTACTGCTCCTTCGTACACAAGAACATACTGATTTTGATAAACCTAACCCTAATGACCCCTTCTTAGGCCCTTCCTTTAAAATGAGGATATTTTTACCTTTGGGAGAACTTGTGGCCCATGGATATCCATTCCTTCTCAATCAGGATCTTCATTTTAATACAAAAAAAAAGTTTGCATTAGGGAAATCATAAAATGAATTAGCTATACATATAAAAATATCAAAGCACTTTGCTGAAATGGACTTTGTACAAGTCTGGCTTGAACTGATAATAAATAAAGTTAATTTCCCAAATGATAACTAAGTAAGTAACTTGTATTTCCTTTAAATACCTGTACAGGCTTCCTTCAAATTTCAAATGCTCTCAGGAGAAATTATTCTGGATTTGTATCCAGTATCACATTTCTTTTGGCTTTTACATGATGTGTGACAAACCATTTGAGCCAAAACCAAATGCAATCCTGATAAACATGAAATTAAATTCAACCTATGAAAAAACAGGACTCCAAAGCTAGTACTTGGGTTTGTACCAAGATTTGTCCTTCGTACAAACCTATTTTCAACCTTTATTTATTTATTTATTTAAAAAAGCATTTCTTGCCCTGGCCGGTTTGGCTCAGTGGTTAGAGCATTGGCCTGCGGTCCGGAGAGACCCGGGTTTGGTTCCCGCTAAGGGCATGTACCTCGGTTGCAGTTTGTCCCCGGCCCTGGTTGGTCGTGCGGGTGGCAGCCACTCGATGTGTCCCTTTCACGTCGATGTTTCTCTCTCTCTCTCTTCCTCTCCCTCCCACTCTATCTGTACAGAAAATGGAAAAGTGTCCTCGGGTGAGGATAAAAAAAAAAAGCATTTCTTAAAAATCTGTTTCTTCAGCCTAAGTGTCCATCAGTAGATGAGTGGATAAAAAAGCTGTGGTACATATACACAGTGGAATACTATGCAGCTGTAAGAAAGAAAGAGCTCTTATCCTTTGAGACGACATGGAGGAACCTGGAGAATATTATGCTAAGCGAAACAAGTCAAGCAGAGAAAGACAAATATCACATGATCTCACTTATTTGTGGAATAGAATAAGCTAAATAAATTGATGAACAAAATAAATCCAGAGACATAGAAGTAGGGTACAGACTGACAAAACTCAGAAGAGGAGGTGGATGGGGGAAGAGATAAACCACAGAACTTATATGCATGTACGCATAACCAATGGACATAGACAACAATGCTGGGGACCGGGCAGGTGGGAGTAATGAGGAGGAGGGTGTCAATGGGGAGAAAAGGAGAAACATCTGTAACAAAAATAAATTAAGAAAAATAATTTTTTAAAAAATCTGTTTCTTAATGAAATCAACTAAGAAGCTTTGGGTTCAGAGCCAGAAAATAATCATGAATCTGACATTCAAACAGATATGTTGAAGATGATAAACTCATCTAACAGCCTATTTAAGAGTCATCCTCTTAGCTTTGCAAACTTTTTGAGTCTCCCCTACCCCTTACAACATACCTTCTGATAGGTAAGAAATTATGTTGAATGTACAACAGAAAGTATATAGACTGTAAATGCCTAATTTAGTAGAAAGAAGCTAAACCAAAAAACAAAGCTTTTTTTGTAGTTTTGGAACTCCTTCTTGTAGAAAATAAATTGGTTGAAAGTTCGCCTTGATTTTTCCATAATCTGTCACTCATGCAAAGTAAAATAACAATTTTTAGCTCTCTTACCATGAGACCTTTGAGAGTCCTATAAAATGGATCTAGGAGGATGCTGGCCACAGAGCAGACTTGTGCTGTGCGGTCCCACCCATCAGAACAGTGGACTAAGACACTGGTTCTTTCTATCTTCACTGCCTGTGAAGACAAGAGGCAAAAAGTAGCATAAACTATAAACAACTTTTACATAGTATGTTGGGTTAATAAATAGACTTGTCAAGTACCATCCCTATAGCAGAGAACCTGGCCTTACCGGGCTACATTAATTTCCTCTCATAATATTGGCATACTCTATAGGGAATGAAAAAAAATAAAGGAGTGCAAGAAAAGAAGAACTTATCTCACAGGAAAGGAAAATTGAAACCAACACATGCTTCAGGATAAAAAGAAAAATAAAGGAGTTCTAAATTCACAAAACTTCTGAAGAAGACAAGGAGCAACTCTCAGAGAAAGAAGTGGGCAAGAGGAAAAATTCATGCCCCCGAAATACATAGAAGAGTTCTGCATTCCAGTCCTAGAACTGACAATGATTTCCTCTGAAGTCTTTAGACGTTTGGTCTTACTAACACAAATTCTTCCAACTTAAGATGGAGAGAGAGGTTTACCTGTCTTAGGTCAGTTTCTGTACAATCAGAATGATGTAAAGATCTGGGCAGTTACTCAATCTGGGTAATTTTGGCCATGACAGATACTGAACATTCACTTATTCATTCTAACAATTATGTATCTCTGTGTGCCAGTTATGTGCTAGGTATTACAGATACAAAGATGAGACTCAGTTCTTCCTTCAAGGAACTCACAAACTAGGGTGACCAAAGGCAAATAAATACATACAATACAGTGAAAAAACTGCTGCTATAGAGTAATGTGTAGTAACTATATCCTTTTGAAGGAGCCAGGGAAGCTTAAGCCTTGAAGAAAGAGTAGGATTTCCTCAGGTGAGAAAAGAGAAGGAAATTAATTCATTTATTCATTCATTCATCCACCCACCTAGTCAATAATTACTGAGTGACTATACAAGAAATGCTATGATGTGCATTGGAGATACAAAGGAGACAAACACATGAACAACTATACACCAATGATAACTAAAACAATAAAAGTCCAAACCAGGTACAACAGGCACAAAATAACCAAAAAGAGGAGATAACTAAAGTAGGCTTGTCAGATGAGTAGGCTTTTGTCAGACTGATGAGAAAAGGACATTCCAGGAAGGGGGCACAACATGACAACATGTAGAAAGGCAAAGAGGTATGACATAGGTGGGGAACTCTAAGTACCTTAGTTGAGGTTAAGCTTGGAGTGAGGAAGTAAGGAGAGATGGGAATGCCCAGGAGGGCAATGGCCAGACTGACAAGTGTGCATTTCACCTGGTGACAACAGAGAGCCACTGAGGTGTTAAAAGCAGATGTACTCACTGTGGTGGCACTAAAGAGAATGGATTGGGTGGACACGAGTTTGGATTTAGGAAGACTAGTTAGAAAGCTACTAAAATTATAAAAGGCAAAAAAGGCCTGAACTAAGGTAGTAGAATTGGGGCTGAAAAGAAGAGGGATGTTAAGAATGAAAATGGATATGGGACCAAGGAGAAGAGTCAAGGATGATTCTGAAATGTGTGGATAACAGCACCATTAATCTGAATAGTGAACAGAGAAGAGACAGGTTTTAGCTGGTGTAGAGAGTAAGAAGATTTCAGTTTGGGCCATGGTGAGTCTGAACTAGTTAAGGGACACCCAATGAAGAGTCCAGTGGATAATTGGATATGTGGGTTTAAAGTCCTGTAGGGGGCTGGAAACTGGGCCAGAATATTGGTTCGACCAAAATATATTAGAGATGGTAGTGGAAACTGGGCATGGCTGGTGCTGTCCAGGCAAAGACCAAAGAAGGAAAAGACCTGAAAAAGCAGTGACTTTAAATTTTTTTTCTCTTTATTGGTTTTTAGGGAGAGAGGAAGGGAGAGGGAAAGAGATAGAAACATTAATGAGAGAGAACATCAATTGGCCACCTCCTGCATGCCCCCCACTGAGGATCAGGCCCACAACCTGGGCATGTGCCCTGACTGGGAATCGAACTGACAACCTCTTGGTGCATGGGTCAACACTCAACCACTGAGCCACACCAGCTGGGCAAAAGCAGTGACTTTTAAAGAGAAAACAGAGGAAGAGGGATTTTATAGGAGTTATCCTATGAAAAAGCAGCCTGAAAGGTATAAGAACCATGAAGGAGCAGTTTGGTTAAAGCCAGGACTATAGAAGTGGTTCAAAGAGAAAGGGGTTAACAGTGCCAAATGCAGCAAAGAGGTCAAAACAGAACAAATATTAAAGAATGACCCTTAGATTTGACAGGTCAGGGGTCATTAGTGACCTCAGCAAGAGCAGTAGTAATGGTATGAAAATAGGATCACAGTGAACTGAAGAATGAAAAGAGGTCAGGAAATGCTAATGGGGAAGGTCAACTACTTTCAAGAAAGCTCTAACCAAGAAGAAGGAGGACAATAGCTAGAACACAAAAAGAAAATGTAGGACAACGTTTTCTTGAAGAAGGAGAGGATAGGATTTAGAATACAGGTAGAGAGATTTGCTTTACACAGAAGATGGAGCACCATTTCCTATAAGATAGCAAGGAAGGAGACACAAAAATGTTGTTAAGGATAATAGTGGAAGATGAAAGCTATCCTTCATTTTTCCATGAAGAAAGAGACCTGTCTATATGTCCTTATAGAGAAGGGAATAACAGTGGTGTAGCCAGCATGAAAGAAAGGTACAAATTAGGAATAACTGTTTGGTGGACAGCACCCAAATAGGAACACATAAAATGATTGCTAAGTAGCCCTAAGACTACAGAACTACAGCTAAAATTATGGACCATAAACTTGAGATAGTACCAATTAACATAGCAATGGGATCTATTTCTTTGTAGCAATGTTTAGTTATTAGGGTATAAGAGAAGCTAATGTAGAGAGTGACTGGGATTAGCAGCACAGGTAGAGTGGAAGGATAATGGGCAAGGTAGAATAGATGAAGTTCTATGCCACCAGGTTTTAGCTAGATAGAGGAGAATGTGAGGAAAGGTGGGAAAAGAGGATTTAAAAACATATAGGTCTCCATAGGACAGAAGAACCAGGCTAGCTGAAATAAGTGTGAGAATTAGAGTATAAAAGCTCGCCCTGGCCAGTTTGGCTCAGCGGTTAGAGCGTCGGCCTGCGGTCCGCAGAGACCCGGGTTCGGTTCCCGCTAAGGGCACGTACTTCGGTTGCGGTTTGTCCCCGGCCCTGGTTGGTCGTGCGGGTGGCAGCCACTCGATGTGTCCCTTCACATCGATGTTTCTCTCTCTCTCCCTTCCTCTCTCTCCCTCCCACTCTATCTGTACAAAAAATGGAAAAATGTCCTCGGGTGAGGATAAAAAAAAAAAATAAAAAAATAGAGTATAAAAGCTCAAAGAACTAATGGTGCAGTGCTCAACAGATTGTATAAGGACATTCAAATCTCCTGGGTCAATAGGAAGAATCAGGATGGAGAGAAAAGTAGTAAGGCCATTCACAAAGTCCTTAATGGAGAAGGGAGAGTAACTAGGAGAGGTACAGAATGGTATAGCTAAATGAAACAGACCTGAAAGGAGTAAGGAGTTTTGTAAGGAGCAAGGGCCATGGGCCCTGAGGTTCATGGGGTGTGAGAAAATAAATAACCTTTATAGTAGAAGATACAGAAGAAATGATATTCCTAGAAGAATAGTTAGGTAGCAAGTAAAACAAGAGTTAGAGAGCTCTGAAAAAAAAAAAAAGATTCTCAACCTTTTTAGCCCGGCCGGTGTGGCTCAGTGGTTGAGCATCAACCCCTGCACCAAGAGGTCACCGGATCAATTTCCAGTCAGGGCACATGCCCAGGTTGTGGGCCCGATCCCCAGTGTGGGGCATGCAGGAGGAAGCCAATCAATGTTCTCTCTCATTGATGTTTCTGTCTCTCTCTCCCTCTCCCTTCCTCTCTCTAAAAGCAATAAAGAAAAAAAATTTTTTTTAATATTCTCAACCTTTTTAACTTCTTAACCAGACACCTCAAGTAATATCAGAGGCCTGAAAGTAACAACTAGACTTTTCTTGGGGTTCCTGGTGTACAGGAAAAGATATTCAATTTTACTAATGATGAAAAAAGTGCAAATCAGAAGGAAGGGGGTGGGGGGACAGGAAGATATAAACCTAAGAACTTACAGGCACATATGCATAACCAATGGACAAAGAAAACAGTGTGGTAAAGGCTGGGGTGGGGGGGAGTGGCGGCGGGAGCAGGAGTGGGGAGGATGGTATCAAAGCGGGGAAAATGAAGGACATCTGTAATACTTTCAACAATAAAGATAAATTAAATTTTAAAAAACATGACATAAAATACATCACCTATCATACTGGTAAAGATTAAAAAGATTGATGCTAATCATTACTGGCAACGTGGAGAAATAGGCATTGTTGGTGGAAATGGAAACTGATGGGACCTATTTGGAGGGCAATTTGGCCATATCTAGTTAAAGTTTGAAGTATTCATATTCTTTGGCTCAGAAAATCCACTTCTAAAATGTTTATACATATAGAGATATATGTTCAAGGGCATCTGGTGCAACAATGTCTGCGTTTGTAAAAAACTGGGAATAACTGAATTGCCCATTAACAGGGGACTATGGTAAATTCACATATGAAATATGATATAGTCATTGAAAAGAATGAAGTAGTACTTGCTGAACTGACCTGGAAAATGTCATTATACGTTAAATATAAAGTATCAGATACAGAACAATATGCGTAGTATAATCCCATTTTTAAAAGTAGTAATAATAGTATGTAAGTCAATATGTTTAAAAGCTCTAGAGCTGCACTGTCCAATATGGTAGTCACTAGCCACAAGTGGCTATTTAAAATCAAATTCACCAAGATTAAATAAAATGTAAAATTCAGTTTCTCAGTTTCACTAGCCACATTTCCAGTGTAAAATTACCACATGTGGCTAGTAGCTATTCCATTAGTACAAATCTAGAACATTTCCATCGTCACAGAAAGTTCAAATAGTGCTGATCTAGAGAAAATAATATTTAATGTAAACTGTAATTGAAAAAAATTTTTAAACAATTTTAAAAATTAAAAATGTGGCAAATAAAAACAAACAAACAAGTAGTTATTATCGTACTTTCAGCAAGGGATGACAAATGTCTTAACTAGGGAAATAGCACTAGAGGCTGGGAGGAATGAATAGATTTGAGGAACACTTCTGAGGTAAAACTGACAGGAGTAGGCAATTGCCAGATGGAGAGGAAGAGCGAAAATTCAAGGCTGAGCTTTCAAGCTTGGAATAAGGAACAGGTGGTGCGGGAGATGGGGAGCACAATATAATTGTGCAATCTGAAGCCTATCTTTTTCATCCACTCATTTTAATTCAGCCATTATTTATAAGGTTGTACTGTCTATCAAATCGATCCCTCTTCTCCATCCTCACTCTCTTTGGTCTAATGTAGTCAGCTTCAGAAAGGGAATGCAGACATACGGGTATATGGCATGCTGAAAGGAACAGTATGAAGAATGGTTAGAACTGGGCTTGAAACAGCCAAGAGGATCACATACTAAACATTAATAACATAGTATAATAAGAAGTGTAGACAACAGGACTAGGAAAGTGAAAAGCATTAGGGCTGGATATTTAAAGCAGTCAATTACATATACTCTTCAAACATTTCAAGCCAAAGGCTATATATCTCATTACCTTCAACTGAGAAAATGACAGCAGAGGGTGAAAAGTCATTCTCTCCTTTTCCTTTACTTCTACAAATAACGGGGTGGGGTAAAGAGGAGGAGTTCTCATGTAGGAATACATATAAACAAAATTTCAAAATGAGAAAATGTACACTCCCAATTTCTTCTTCTTTTTTTATACACCTCATAACAAATGATACAGAGACCAGGGTTCTGGAGGTCAGAAAATAAGTCAGCACAAATGTGTGATGAAGCCTGCCTGGACTGCATTCACAGGCAGACCTACAGAAAGAAGTCAAAAAAGGTCTGCTTTATACCCATAGATACACAAACTCTACATTTATTGTACACCCACTCTTACTTCCACTTGATACCTTAGAATCAACACAAAAACACAACAGAGTATTTGAGCAGGAAGGACCATCAGAGATCTTCTAAGATTTTTTAACATGAGGTTCAGAGGTCTGTGAAATCCCTGAAATTAAGACCTATTTTCTCTATGTACATTTTTCCAGGGGGAGAGGGTCAATACTATTCCCAACGAGTTCTGTGGGCCCCCCAAAAGTATACCTTTAGATTCTTGTCCAATCACCTTGTTTTACAGATGAAGAAACTGAGGACCAGAGAAGGGATAAGATTTGCCAAGGGCCCACAGTGAATTCGTATCAAAGCTGAATCTAGAAACTAACTTTGCTTTTTAGTATTCTTTTTACCAGGATATAGTGCTACCTCAAGAGATCCCCTAATTAAAGTCAGTGCAAGTTCTTAAAAGTCCTGATTATTACCTTTGCAATGAAAATTCCAGCATCCATAATAGCTTTAATGTGTTTCAACCACCCTGAGCTCTCCAGGCCGCTAAGAAATTCACTCATTGTTGGAGTTTTCAATTCACAAACTAAGGTAGAAAAGGAAGCAGAAATTGAAATTCACAATATCCTCAGTTTATTCACCAAGAAAGGGGAAAAGTGGATCTTAATTTTGTAAATGAGGCGCAGAAAGGTGAAATGATTAGTTAGGAACCACACTGTGAGTCAGGGACAGGATTAGGGCTAGAGCCTACCATATCTTCCAGATCCAGTCTCTGCTTTCTTGAGTTGTAGAACCCACCCCCAACCCCACAGAAATCTCTGAAGAGAAGAGCCAGAAGAATGAGTCAGTATCCACAGAAAACACTCATATCTCCTCTTAATCAAAAACACATTTCATCCTATGTCTTCACCCTGGCTCCCAGTCATCTGGTTTCTACTGCGCATATGCCAGCATAGGAATTTCCCCCTCCTCCCTCCTCTTTGAATTTGGTACCTGGCCCGCAGCACCCTTGCGGAGATTTTCCTGTCAGTTCTGAAGATTAGGTCTCCTCGTGGCAGTCCCCTGGAGTGTGTGAATGAGTGTGTTTATGCTATAGTTTCCCAGCAAACTAGATGAAATGATACCCTGCTACCTGCTTCAGCTTCCCAGTTTATTAAGCTTATTATTTAGTTCCACTTTTGTTTTCTTCCTCATAGTAATAACTAGCTTCCTTATATTAATAACTAGCTACCCACACTGACACATCCACTCATCCTAACTCTGCAGCCCCTTAACATCTGTCTGTACTCCCACACCCTCACCTACTCCCTGCAACCCTGTGCAGTCGCAACGGATGGGCCCGAGGGTGTTAATTTTCATGAAGTTTGCACTGGTTATCCAGCAGAGGGCAACCTTTTTCCAGAAAAAATTGTAAAAAGTCCTGTTCTCTACACCTATAGACTATACTGGGAAAAAAGAGAAAAAAAGGAAGAGATTCAAGGAAGAGAAACATTAATATCTTAAATAGGAAACAGACTGCAGAAATAGGATCTGATAAGGGTCATATAAGGGAGAGGTTTTGACCCATAAGATAAGTATGAAATTGAAGAAAAGAGAGGAAGAACAGAGAGTTCACTAAAAGAAGGCAGGTTTTCACTATCTCTTCCTGAGTTCACATACCACATCATGGAATCCTGGGTAGTGGCTTTGATAGAAATGTTTGAGATTCAAGAGTATTTTAAGGCCCCAATCTCACAGTGCCTCCACTTTGACCTCAATTATTTTGCAGTGATGACAGATGACCCAAATTGTCTGACATTAGCTTCATTCCTTTGAAGTCTAAATTCACCATCTTCATCAGCACAGTGATAAAATCCGACTGACTCCCTTACAGTAGGTTAAATGAGGTGATTTCTTACCTCCAGAATGATGCAATGAATCCCAAACTCATTTTATACTTATGTTAATCTACCCACCCCTAAACACAAGTCTCTTTAATTCTATAGAGATAAATGATTTCCACAGCAACTAAACCCAGAAGGACTCCACCGAGTTATGAAACTGAACATCTTAGTTCCTCTGCCAGACCAAGACTGCTATAATTCATACTATGTAAGCTGGATTCATACTATAGTCAAAAACCTTATCACCTATTGAACTCGTTCACCTGGTTGCTTTTATGGTCTATCCCAAATCACATACTGTTTGTATACATATTAATGCAAAGTTATGGCCTCTGGCCTATCCAAGGTGAAATCCTTCTACCTTCTATGAGTTTCTGCAGGCTGTTCCGCATCACATGGATGTTCTCAATTCCCATGAACCTGAAGCGAATGTTGGCATAGTTGTCTTCATTTTCATACCCCTTCCCAGCTGCTCGGTTGGCCAGGGCATTCAACTGTAATAGTTGAGGAATAATTGAGCAGATTAGACAGATCATAAAATAACAGGATTCATCCATCTCAATGCCTTATTCTAAACAGTTTTAAATCTTACCCATTTAAAAAGAAGTTAAATCAGACAAGGCACATTCTGGAATGGAGAGAATTTCACTGGTTTTTAGGTCAGGTTATCTTGAGTAACAGAGTAGCATAGGGGAAGATTTCGTGTTTTTGTTTTATTACTAAAACTCTGCTTAATAAGAGACCAAAGGATATGGCAGCTATATCTGGTCTGAAGAACTGAAATAATTTTGGTTTCCTATCACAAACAAAAGTTTTCTCAGGTGAAAGGACTTTATACTAGGAAATATGTGAAAGTTCAAAAATCTTTACATCTGAAAAGCTCTACAAAGAAGTCTAAGAACTTTAGGGACAATGACTTTTAAATAGCTATTCTAGAAAAATGTCTAAAACATGCATGAGATAAATGACTTTCTCTCACTGCTAAAATTGAAATGGAGATACCAAGACCTGTTTTAGCACTATGTTCAACTTGTGGTAATCAGAATATTTCTAGGTCTTAAGAAGAATGTTGGATAGGCTAAGGAGTAAATGAGATATAATCAGGAGACATTAATACAATAATTAGAAAAAAAGCCAAAATATCTTCTATGATGATAACCATCTTACTAATCAAATAGTTTTCTTTTGTCTAGGCCTGTTTTCTTGTCTCCCAGTACTGTGCATTTCAAAAAACAGGAGGAGCATGTATGTGAAAAGGGTGTAGTTTTTGTATTAGTATAAAAGAATGCCATTAAAACTTCAAAAGCACAAACACTTCACATTAACACATTCAGGGGAAATAGTCTATGTATCAACATACTCTGTGTAGAATGCAAGATAACTTTTAAGGAAGAAATGTGATGGTAATTTGATTACTTATCACATAGAAAATACTACTGAAATTTCATTACATTAATGACAATATCAAACGGACACCTGTGGAGGTACAAGCAACAGCCACCTTGTAGCAAGTAAGTTTGCTATGACTGATTAATGTTTCAGCAAAAAAAATAATAATTATAGAAACCCCTATCCAGGTCTGGGCAGCACTAGAACGGCCAGCTAGTGCAGACAGCTAGCTGGGAATCACTATAAAATATTTAAGAGTATGTCTGGCATATTTAAGGAACAACTACATATTAGCAGCCTAATGTTCAAAACGGAAAGAAATATAATATTTATTGAGCTCCTAGTACGTACCAGACACTTTGCTAGATCCTTTATCTATATTATTTCATTTAATCTTCACTACAACCTCTCAAGATAGGTACTGTTATTATTCCCATAAGAAAACAATCTCAGACAAGTGAACCAATTTCAACCAGAATCATATGGATAAGAGCTAAAGGCAAGATCTGACCCCAGGTTCGTCTAATTCCTAAAAATGTAATTTTGTGTAACTATAGTACATTTTCTAATGAAAGTATAAATCTAGCCATCCAGAGAGGGGAGCTGCTAGATATTTCTAGGCCTTCTGAGTGAGGAAAAAGGGACTTGTTAAAAGGGCTTTTTGGTGCACGGCCAGTGTGGCTCAGTGGTTGAGCGTCGACCCATACACCTAAAGGTCGCCGGTTCAATTCCTGGTCAGGGCACATGCCCAGGTTGTGGGCCTGATCCCCAGTGTGGGGCATGCAAAAGGCGGCCAGTCTATGTTCTCTCTCATTGATGTTTCTATCTCTCTCTCCCTTTCCCTTCCTCTCTCTAAAATCAATAAAGGAAAAAAAGGAGGCCTTTTAGTTTTAGGCTTAGACAAAAGGCACCAATCCTCTGCTTTTTCAAAAGCTTAGTATGTTTTCCTTTACAATTTCAAGATATTTAATCTTTTTTTTTGTTTTTGTTTTTTTACTTTTTTATCTTTACAGTTCAGAGTATTACAGATGTCCCCTCCCTTTTATTTTTTAAAAATATATTCATATTGATTTTTTAAAAGGGAGAAGGGAGAGACAGAATCATCAATGTGAAAGACAAACATCGATCGGCTACCTCCTGCATGCCCCCTACTAGGGATCATACCTGCAACCTGGGCATGTGCCCTGACCAAGAATCCAATCTGGACCTCTCAGTCTATGGGACAATATTCATTCCACTGAGCCATACCAGCTGGGCATCCCCCCTTTATTTCCACTTTTTAAATGTATTGCCATTTTTATTCTTTATGCCTGTGTTCCTTGTTTTCTCTCTATTTCTTCTTCTTACACAGGCCTTTTAGCATTTCTTGCAGTGCTGGTTTGGTGGTAATAAACTCCTTTAGCCTGTTTTTGTCTGTGAAGCTCTTTATTTCACCTATTTCAAATGATAGCTTTGCTGGATAGAGTAGTCTTGGATTCAGCCCCTTGCTTTTCATTATTTTTTATACTTCATGCTACTCCCTTCTGGTCTGAAGTGTTTCTATTGAGAATCAACTGACAATCTAATGAGAGTTCCCTTGTAGGTAACTTTCTGTCTCTCTCTTGCTGCCTTTTAGATTCTCTGTCTTTAACATTTCTCATTTTAATTATGATGTTCTAGTTGTGGGTCATTTTGGGTTCATCTTGACTGGTATTCTCTGTGTTTCCTGAACTTGAGTGACTTTTCCTTCACTGGGTTTAGGAAGTTTTCTGTCATTATTTCTTCAAACAGGTTCTCTATTACTTGCTCAGTCTTCTCATTCTGGTACCCCTATGATGTGGATGCTGTTACATAAAATGTTGTCCCACAGCTCCCTTAAACTATTCCCCTACTTTTTAATCTTTTTTTCTAATTGCTGCTATGATTGGTGTGTTTTTCTACCTTGTCTTCTAATTCACTGATTTGGGCCTTAGCTTCTTCTAATCTACTGTTGATTCCTTCCAGGGTATTATTAGTTCACTGATTTGGGCCTTAGCTTGCTTCTTCTAATTTACTGTTGATTCCTTCCAGGGTATTATTTATTTCAGCTATATCATTCCTTATTTCTGATTCATTCTTATTGATGGTTTCTAGCTATTTTTTCATGCTTATGAAGCTCCCACTAAGTGCCTTATAGTTCTCATTAAGCTGCTTGTAGTTCTCACTAAGTTGTTTGAGGGTCCTTATAACCATTACTGTGAACTCTATATCTGATAAATTGCTTGCCTCCAGTTCATTTAGTTCATTTTCTGGTGAGTCCTCCTTTTCTTTCATTTAGGGGTTGTTTTTTTATAAAACCATTTCAATGGGTCTGGTCTTCCTAGGGACACTGGATCGGGCACGCCTGGTCGCAGCAGCAGATCCATGTATCCAGAGGTGTCGGGTCCCAGTAGAGTCTTAGTTCTGGGGGTACAGGGTCAGGCATGCCTGATCGCAGCAGAAGGACCATACATCTGGGGATGTCAGGTCATGGCTGTGGGGCAGGGTGTGCCATGTCAAGGCACCAGGACCAGGTGTGCTGTATCTAGGCATCAGGGCCAGGCACTCCATGTCACGGCTGTAGAGCCAGATACACCATGTCAAGGCAGCAGGACCAGTCATTTGGGGGTGCCAGGACAGGCACACTAGGTTGCAATGACAGGTCCATGTGTCCAGGCATGCCACATCAAGGTGGCAGGGCTGCTTGTCCAGAGGAGCTCAGTTAGGCATGCCAGGTCCTGACGGTAGGTCCATGCATCTGGGTGTGTCGTGTCAAGGCAGTGGGGACCGGGCACTCCATGTCAAGGTGGGGGTGCCGGGTACTCCGTGTCAAGGGGATGGGGACTGGCTGTTCTGCATCAAGGTGGCGGATGCCAGGTGCTCTGTGTCAAGGTGGCTGGGCCCGTCATCCAGGGTTGCCTATTCAGGCACACCAGGTTGCAGCGTTAGGCCCTTGCAGCCAGGGTCACAGCAGCCAGTCACACAGTCATTTGTCTGTGGCCTCAGGGTGTTGGGTCATGGTTACGCCCTGCAGCCTCCTCTGGAGGAGGAACCTGCAGATCCTCCAAAATTGCACACTCTCCTGTCTCTAGTGGTGAGAAGCACCCAGCTTAGCAGTGTGTGGTGGCCAAACCACCTTGCCCGGATTTCTTGCATCAATGGGCAGCTAGCTGCCTACCCGCACTCACATCCACACATACTCTACCTCACACACACTCACCCACTCACACTCTCACCCTCACTCCAGTCTTGCCCACCTCCATGTTGATTCCTCCAACATATTTAATCTTGATGAAAGACACAGATTTGATTAAACTCGTTCCAATGTGGAATGGTAGATTCAGTTATGGTTGAAGCAAGACAGCCACCTTCAGAGAAACTCAAAGATAGTGCCTGAGCAGAAAGGGAAATTATTTTCTCTCTTGAGCCCCGTCAGTCTTAGGTAGCTCTGGAGAATGGCCAGTGAGAAATCCCCAAAATGCAGGCAGCTGTCTAAGGCCACTATCTAATTTCATGCACAGTCAATTGCTCAATTGTGATGCCACAACCCCCTGGCTTAGGCTTAGATCTAAATCACCAATTTAGCAATCACTAGTTAGCAATGAAACCTCCTAGTCAGCCACACTCCACACATTAAATTACTAGCAAAATTATTTGTTTCTGGGGCTGTTTGTATATAGGACATCCTTTGAGAAAAGGGATTCTTGTTTTTACTTGCCTCACAGGACTCAGTGAATTATTTGACAATCCCTTAGAGAGCTAAACAATATGTGGAGGGTCAAAGAATTAATGCAGAGTTTAGGTTGATACTTAAGTTGATCTGAGGACACTCCTTTCTGTGACATTCACATTTGAAAGGGAGAGCCTGAGAAAACACATTATAACAAATCACACAGTACCTGGCTCTTGGAAAGATGAAATGATTTTGCTAGGCCTATGTCCAAAAACCATGGCAAATTTATGTTCCTGTTCTTTTGTTTTCCCCTCTGGGACCAAGATTTAAACTTCACTTCATTGAACTTGGAAAAACTTAATCAGTAAATAGTGCTAAAAAATTACTGCCTCATAAGCTAAATAATTTTTGTTAGTCATATAGCAATCACATTTGTGAACCCGACTCCTTCAGGAGACTATTATTAACTCACTGTGGTTTAATACATCACTTACACTTGGTATTACACTTACACTTGGTATTAATGTTTCCAGTGTTAAGTTGAAGTGCTCTATCTGATAATAAATTTATAACACAGAAGAGGAATGCTGAAAATTCTGATTGATTAACAGATTTAGTGAAAAAGAGGGAACACGAAAGAGCCTCCAGGCATTCAATATAGAAATCAGTTGTCACAAATTCAGAAGGGGCAAAGCCAGGTTGTTCAAAGTACCTTTGAAAGAATCAAGTATGTCTCAGTCTTGCTTGACAGTGAGTGACAGGATATAATAACAGGAGCTCTAAATGTCTTGCTCAAATGATTTTACACAATGTCTGACACAATAAGCCCATAAACACAAAGCTAACTTTCCCAATAACGCTGCAAAACTCAACATGTAGGGATGGGGATTACAAAATGAATGAGGTAGGAATATCAAAAAGATCACTGATACCTTTGGTCTTGTGTCTATGACATACATAAATTGGCTCCCTGGGTTTGTATGGCCAATAGCCTCTATCAAGAGCTCATCATCTAGGCAGCGAGTGTAAAATCCAGACAGAGGCTGGCTACAGCGGCAAATGGCAGCCTATAAGGAAAAAATGTATCAGTTGAGGGATCATATGCACAGGTGGTCAACAATCCTCTTTGATCCTAGGTTTGGTGAGCAGAGAAAGAAGACAAGCCAACTCAGAATGGTGAAGCAAAGAGGGATGTAACTTTGAAGCCCAGCTGTTCCACTAACATTGGGCTCAGACTCCTGCCTCCCCCGGGCATGTGGGCTGTGTTACCACAAACTGCTGCTCAGAATACTCTTTTCTCCCTTCTGCATGGCAAGGATTCTTGACCTAGCCTAGGCAAATGAAGAAAATCACATCTTGAGTGCTTCCTTAATAAAATTCTATTCTCAATTTGCATTAGGCTAATATTTTTCTGAAATATTAGCCCTGCTATTTAGAGTCCCAGTAATATTACCAATATAAACCAGAGGGCTTGCAGTGGCAGCAGAATTCAAGATAGAGCAGAAATTTAGAGTCTTGAGAGAGTAGGGTTCATTCATTAATGTCAAATCAGAGGGGCTGATTTGTTTAAAGCCATTTCAATATAAAAACAACATAGCTATTTAGCATATATGTTTGGTAATGATTTGTCAATAGACTGCATTGCACTTCAGTGTGGTTTTTAAGGAGTCTGCTCACTTTGATAGTCTGACACAAAAACACCCACTTGTATCACTATATTCTTTAGTACCTGAATAGTTTGTTTACCTACTTAAGAAACTGACTATTTGTCTAACTCCAGATCTCAAAATGACCACAAGAGGCAAGAACTATTATCCCTTCCTATGGAAGGGGATTCAAACAGAGGAGTCGAGTGCTTTTTCCTACTACCTTAACTTATATTAAAAGTAGTAGAGAGAATCAGGACATCTGTGTTCCAGTGGGAGGCCACAGTTCCCAAATATCCTTTCATTCAACAACTTCCCATCAAGCTAGAGCCCACAGGGAAGGGAAGAAACAAATGAACACACTAAAAATGCCACTTAATATTTGTACAACACTTTACCATTTACAAAGTACACATGTATTTTCCCCTCATGTGACCCACTTACAAACCCTCAGAAGTATTAAAATTCAGAGAAGTAACTAGCTTGAGGTTACACAGCCAGCAAGTGGCAGTAGTATGGCTTAAACCCAGATCTTCTAGAGCCAAGTTCAGTTCTCATGAGAGAAGTTTGCTCAACTCACATTGTTTTCTTTGTACAGGTAGCAGAGTACAGGTAACCGTTCTTTACTTCTGAACTTCGAACTTCCAACCACCGTTTCCAAGGTAACAGATTTAGGAACCACTATTTCAGGAGGATAGGTACTGCATATCTAAAAGAAAACTTAATTTTTTTAACTTAATATATTGTTTACATTTTTCGCTTGCTAGCAACAGATTGGAATAGCAATCACTGAAGCACTAGCTGTCTATTATTTATCATCTAGAATCATCCAGTCCTCAAAAATAGGAACAAAAATATCCTTGATGTAGTAGCTTTACCAAGAATACCATTATTTTCCAGAAAGGAAGGTACTGAGTGAGCCATATAAGAACAAAATATAGCCCTGGCCGGTTTGGCTCAGCGGTTAGAGCGTCGGCCTGCGGTCTTGAGAGACCCGGGTTCGGTTCCCGCTAAGGGCACGTACCTCGGTTGCAGTTTGTCCCCGGCCCTGGTTGGTCGTGTGGGTGGCAGCCACTCGATGTGTCCCTTCACGTCGATGTTTCTCACTCTCTCTCTCTGTTCCTCTCTCTCCCTCCCACTCTACCTGAACAAAAAATGGAAAAATGTCCTCGGGTGAGGATAAAAAAATAAATAAATAAATAAATTTAAAAAAAGAACAAAATATAGTAACATTATAGGTAGAAATGCACATATAACCCTACTCTGAAATTTCTACACTTGCCTATCAAAGCAAACAACATATATTGTAAATAAGTAAATTAAAAAAAATATATTTGAATATAAAGCAGACAGATATAAAAGGAGAAAACATGATTTACTCTTTCTTAAAATGCACACTCAGTTCCTAGTATACACATCTTGAGGGCCTTTAAAACACCAGTCTGGAGATGGAAGTGCTGACATTTTAGGTGTGATATTTACCATGTAAAAGACTGATACATTTCCTCGAATTCATCAGCTTTTAGTGGTTACCAAAATATATATTTCTAAAGATACAGTGACAAAATATTATAACAGCATAGACCTTACATTGCCAATTCTAATCACTCCTCTAAGTAAAGGATACCCTTAAACATTTGACAGTGGATCAAACAAATAAAAATATGAATAGGCAAAAAAGTTCAAGGTAGATCAGATTGAATTGTGTCCTCAGAATGCAGAACTGAAAGAGAAAAAGTTCTATACTCATTTTCTTACCTGGACTTAAACTTTGGGGAAGTGGGTCATACAAAGAGGAATAAATGGAGCTTCCCTTTCAGCACAGAAGGCCACATATATCCAAGGTGCCACAGATATTTCAGAGCTCATTTGGGGAAGTTAGACACATATTTGAACTGGAAAGAATTCACCTTATCTCTGCCCATTCCTATCAAGTATCACCCTAACAAGGCACTTCACAAATGGCCCTGCTAAGTGACAGCTCAACGATCTTCCTATTTGGCAGATTTCAAAACTGTGTTATCAGAAAGCCATTACAATTACTGTCTTTCTATAATAGTAAAAAAACAAAAAAAGATCCACAATTCAGAGATACCACTTAAACACCAATAAATCCCTGGGCAGAAAAGTTATCATACAGAAAGCCTCACTGCTATCCTTAGAAAGACTTACTTGCAAGTCTGGCCCTTGGCTGGTGCTCGGGAACTTGAATTTTGGAAGGATTCCTACCATCTGTTCACTGATAAGTGATTAATTGTGCCTAAACTGTTTATGTGTAAACAATATGACTTATGCCACATACTTTTTCCCTTCTTCGCATCTGAAACTTAGTATACACTAGGTAGAAAGTGCCTATGTGTCCAGCTGCCAATAAAAATCTTGTGCACTGATTCTCCAATGAGCTTCCCTATAGATATTTCCCACATGTTGTCACAATTTGTTGCTAAAGGAATTAAGCATGTCCTCTGACTCCACTGGGAGAGAACTCTGAAGCCTGTGCCTGGTTTCCTCTGGACTTTGCCCCATTTCCCTTTGCTAATTTTGCTTTATATTTTTTCATTTTAATAAATCATAGCCACAAGTATGACTATATACTGAGTCCAATGAGCTCTCCTAGTGAATCCCTAAACCTGAGGGATGGTCTTGGGAAATACCAATACATTTTAAGACCTCTTCCTTAAGATCCAGACTTAAATACTTGATATCTTTGAAATCACTTTGAACTTAGTCTAAAACTGAAGACACTGGCCTCTTCTCATGTTCCTTATCTTGGTTAACATATCCATTACCCACTTGGTCACCTAAGCCAGAAACCAGGAAAACTGTGATGCATATTAAAATCCTCCCTCCTCCTCCCAGCTACATTAACCTGTCACCACGTTCTTTTAATTGTACCAATTAAATTTCTCCTAAAACCACCTCATCCTCGCCACCCATTGTCATTGCCTTAGTTCAGCTTTCCATGTCATTCTTCTGCATTCTTAGAAAACCAATACTCCACACCGGTACCAAAGTTATCTTCCTAAAATACACATTTACTCACATTACTTTCCAGCTTAAAATACTCTAGCAAATCCTAAATATCTTAAGGATAATGTTCAAATTCCTTAATTTGGCCATGAAGCCCTTCCTGATCTTACTTCACTTCCTAACCTCTTTCTTTCTCTCCCTGTATAAACTAAGATTTCCTTCTCCAGGCTATTCCCCAAAGCATCAGGATGTTTCTGGCTTCCCAGTCTCAATTTCACATCCTCCATCTATGCTCCTACAGCACTCTCTGCATTAGACTATGAGAACTCTTACTCAGTGTCTTGAGTGCAATAGGTACTTAGTAAATGCTTGTTGCGTGGCTAAATGTTGAATAAAAAGAGATTATAACTGATCTTTTTTTCTTTTTCTAAAACCATGTTTGCTAACATTTTTCTGTTTTAATTAAATGGACCTAAAGGAAAGCAACAATGACAAAATTACCTCATAATTTCTGTTGGCATCTATTATGGTCCAGTACTTGTTAGGTATTCCCATACGCCCAAAGTCTGATACTGGGTCAATCAGTTTCCATCCATTTTCCCTCATCTCTTTTGAGGATTTGGGATTATAAAAAAAAGCATACAGATCTTCAGGTAATGCTGGAGAAGGGAGATAAACATGAAAACAATAATGAGTAAAACTTAAAGAATACTAAATAATGCTAAAGGGGGGGGGGGGGGGCGCTAGACTTCCTTTCTCCCAAAGGGAATGTTTTTCAAAAAGCCCAAGAAAGGGGCAATGATCAGTGTAAAGGGTTGCCTTTATGTAAGGAATAAGAACTGGAACATTGTTTTGGAGTCTTCTTTTAAAAATGATTTTTTTTTTCTGATACCAATACAAAGCAGGAACATTCTGTCTGGCTTCCTGTGAATTGCTGGATAATGGACTGAAATGAAGCTTCAGGGTTTCACATGTTTGGGAAGTGGTCCTTACAAAAGCTTTTTTTCTTTTTTTAACTGAGCTCCAGTGTCCTAAGGGTACTGTTTGTTGTAACAATTTGTAAAATATTAGCACTGTTCTTATAATCTACTTAGACCAATACCTACTTCTGGCTAATGAATGTCAACCCACTTTCTCCCTTCACAAGACACAACATGCAACCAATAACTCATTTCACTAATTTATGTGGCAACGACTTTTCCAGAGATGTATGGAATCTGCCAGAGTCTTAGTAAGTGTTGGGCTAGCTAACAGGTAACCTCTGTCCATAAAATACCTGCAAATTCTCAGAAGTTATTCTGGGTAAAGGGTGGTAGAAAATGGGAAAGTATAAAAGCATGAAAATTCTACAGATTAAAAGCAGAAGAAGCTGCATGGCCAGTGTGGCTCAGTGGATTGAGCGTCATCCCATGGACTGAGAGGTCTTAGTTCAATTCCTGGTCAGGGCACGTGCCCGTGGTTTTGAGCTTGAACCCTGGTGGGGGGCGTGCAGGCGACAGCCGATCGATGTATCTCTCTTACATCAATGTTTCTATATCTCTCTCTCCCTTCCTCTTTCTCTCTCTAAAAAAAAATCAATAAAAAATTTTAAAGCAGAGGAAGCTGATGGGTTAGACACATAGAGGTGGGCTGGGGGATGAGAGGGTGAGGCTGGGGGAAGCAGAGATAACTGCATTATTAAGGACTCTGATAAACCACCCTAATCTTCTAGCTGGAACTGAAGGTAGGGGTGGGAATAGTGGGCCAAACATAAAGTTTGTAGGGCAACAGGAAACAGATTTTGCTCCAAAGCAGACGTCCTTCCTGAACTGATGAAAAAATTCACAAGTTAATACATAAAAGCAGGGAGGGAAAGAGAAGGCAATAAATCTATTAAATATCTACTATATATATAGCAAGTAAAAAGTAAAATGCACAAATACATTTAAACCTCAAAACAATCCCTGTGGGGAGCTTATACTATCACTGCTTTTCCAGGTAAGGAAGCTGTATTCAGAGGTTATATAACTTGCCCAAATCCCATGGAGAAGAACTCAGATTCAAATTCTGCCCTATTTAACTTCATAGCCCATGATCTCTCCAGTATGCCATTCTTTGGGGGGGGGGGATCTAAAATGGTTTTCATAAAAATACTATCATAATTACCTGGCTGAGAAAGCTTGAGCAGCGAAATATAAACCTCATGGCACACTGCGTCAGAGTTTAAAATAAAGTGGGCCACCCGAAAGTTTTTGCAGTGCAGAACCAGGGGACAGCCCAGGCTAGTAATGGGCAACTTCTCCACAGTGGCAATGTGATGCAGTGCAATCTACAAAACAGAAAAGAACCAAAATAAATTCACAGGCATGCACTAGTTCTGTCATTATCAGTGTGCCTGACTCTCAATAAAGGCAACAGAATAACCAGAGATGTGATCACATCTACAGCCATCAACCATACTTTGTAAGGCACAACTGGGGGTTTCTCTTGAACAGAAGTAAATAGTGGCAAAACAATGAGAAGAAAATGGCAGTGTTATAAAACTTTTCCCACCTTAGGGGAATAAGGTTACCAGGTTTGTGGGGCAATTGTGGTAAATTGGCTCAGTACAGATGGCTTCTAGCATACTATGGTGGCATGTACAATCATAGTAGAATAATTGTGACAGAGAAAAATAGAGCTTTCTTTTGTTCTCCTAAATTACTAATTAAAATTAATAACTAGTATTGTGCTTTATTTATCACAAGGTCATCCATGACCATTAACTATTTAATCCCTATAATAACCCTTTGAGGTGTAAACATTCAATTTCAGGAATGAAGAAACCAAAGCTCCGACAAGTGACTTCCTCATCAGAGATCACACAACCAAGGAGTAGCACAAACAGGATTTGAACCATGGCAGTCTAACTCCAAGTTCAGGGTTCTTTATCTAAGAATTCTAAAAACTCTAGTCCTGGAATTAGGATTTAACTAGAAATATTAGGGGGAAATTTTCTCTCCCACATTTTAGATTCTAGTGACAGTAAAGCAAAGAATGAAATGGGGGGAAAACTGATCTATGTAACTTAGGAAATGAGTAGAGACTATAACACTAATGAATAACAGAACTATATATAAGCAATATACTATAGTTAATAAAGTTATTTTCCATGGGAGGTTAATGATTCTGATTTTTTTTAAGGATGATTAAATCTTTAGTCACATCACTCCTGCTCATGATGATGCTAGCAAAAAAGAAACACGTGGAAAGTGAACTGGTAAAAAGAAATCGTATCCAAATAATACAATTATTTCTTTATAGATTCAGAAAGCCATGGAATAATAGTTTTACATGTTAGTCTTTGATGTTCTCCTCCTATCTGTGTCTCTGATGTTTCCTGCAAATAGAACCTGAATGTAATCTTTTCATTCTCTGATTCCATCCTGTGCCTGGAATGGCCTTCTGATCATCATTGTCTTTTCTTTTCCTCTACCCTTCACCACTCGTTTTGGGTAAACAAGCCTCCTTTGCTACATAGAAATAAGTAACGTAAGTTCTCCCTTCCAGATCTAGTCTCCTGGGTTTGAAATAATACCCAGTAGGAAATATGTGCTGTCTATAAATGCAGGTAGAAAGGAGGGAGGCTCATGGCACAGTACTAAAGAAATGTTTCCTAAACTGATAGAAATGGAAGAATCCCTACTAATTATATAATCTTCCCACCTCATTTTACAGATGAAGAAATTGAAGCTCAGAGAGCAAGAGTCACTTACCTGAGGTCATATAGCCAGTTAGTGCATAGCTGAGTCGAGCTAGAACCAGGTCTCCTGATTCCTCTTTTGGCATTCCTTTCATCACACCAAAGGGAGCAAGTACAATATCAAACGGGAAAAGCTCATGTTGTTTTAAAAAGGAAGTATTAAAATATAGTTGACCCTTGAATAATGGGTTTGAACTGTGCAGGTCCACTTATGCGTGAATTTTTTTCCAATAAATATATAGTTAGCCCTCTGTTTCCGCAGTTTTCACATCCACAGATTCAACCAACTGCATATCGCAAACAATAGTTTAAATCCATGGCTGGAAATCCACAGATGTGGAAGGCCAACTGTATGCTTAAGTCCTTTATATAAAATGGCATGCATCTACAGATTTTTGGTATCTGTGGGGGATTCTGGAACCAATCACCCACAAATACATAGGGATGACTGCAGTTAAGTTTTTGGGGAGTCAAAAGTTATATAAAGATTTTCAACTGCACAGGGATCAGCACCCCCTAACCCCCACATTGTTCAAGTATCAACTGTATTTATTCCACATGTATATTCAGTTTAATTTATTTTATAGTTATTCAATAGTATTTATCATGTGCCAGGCACTGTTTTAAGCAATTACAACATTAACTTTTTTATTTTCATAACAAAGTTATTATTACTATCCCTATCTTACAGATAACAGAAGTGAAACACAGAGAAGTTAAATAATTTGCCCAAGGTTATAAAGGTAGTAAATATTGAATCTGGTATTGCACCCTGAACAGACTGTCTCTAGAGCCTGTGATCTTAATCTCTAGGCTATGATGTATACTAGAAGCATGTTAAACTTCTTATAACCTTTCTAAACATAAATCTGACTCTTGATTAAGTTAAGATTAAATGATGCTACTTTAGGATGAGGAAGGCATAAAGTAATGTTAGGGGTGCTAAGCTAATTAGAAAACATTGTTTAAAAATAGAAAATTGTTTAAGAGTATAACAGAGAACACACACATACTGTCTGAGGTCAGAGAGATGGTCTAAATCATTGATAGCCAAGGTGTAGTCCATGGGCCATCACCATCACCTGAGAGCATTTTAGAAATTTAAAATCTTAGGCCTGTAAAATCTGCATTTTTTACAAGCTCCCAGGTGAAATGAATACTACTAGTTATCCACATTTTAAGGGTAGAAAGTCTTTTAATTACTTCTAGTTGATAAGGATGCTTATCAACTAGACTCAGAAAATGAGCAGAGACTACCTAAAATTATTGAGGAAAACTCCTATGCAGTTTAAAATGATTAAGATGGCCCAGCTAGGTGGCTCAGTTGGTTGGAGCATTGTCCCATACACCAAAACGTTGCAGGTTTGATTCCCAGTCAGGTCACACACCTAGGTTGAGGGTTTGATCCACGGTTGGGGTGTGTATGGGAGGCAACCGATTGATGTTTCTATCTCACATAGATGGTTTTCTCTCGCTCTCTCTCCCCCCCTCCCTCCTTCCTTCCCTCCCTTCCTCTCTTTCTCTCTCTCTCTCTCTAAAAATCAATAAACATATCCTAGAGTGAGGATAAAAATAATAAAATGACTAAGATGATTATAATTAATAACTTGAGGGGTGAGGAGTCATATGATTCAAGCTATGAAAGACCCCTAGAATAGGTTCTTTGAGAAATGTTTTACAGCAATGTAACTGTTAATTGAAATTTTAAGAAACTACCATATTAGAAAGCATATGCACACAACTCTTTAAGACCCTTTGAAACTTCTTCTCATGAACATACCCATGTTTCTTTCCGGTCTGCACCAGAAGCCTCCACATAGATCAGGTGAGTTGCAGTGAGATGTAGAATCCCATTAGTTAATTTATTACCCATATAACGATCCAGTAGTGTCACATTTTCTACCTGTTATTTGGGGGGAAAAAACTGATTAAATAAAACTCATTAAATCATCAATGCAACACCTGTGAATTAAGTGAGATAATTCAAAGTCAGATAAATGATGTTAATTTGCTACAGAACTTCTTTGAGACTTTCTAGTTCCTGCCAAGGAACTAATATGATTTATATTTCCATTTCCTAAATCAGCCCTAGAGAAACTATGAAAGTAAAAAGGAAACATGTATTCTAGGAAGGATTAACATTCTACATGATGTTACCACAATGGGGTAGGTGTGGGTAGAAGATAAATTAGACATAGAGCCTGTTGAGATACTTATCATGTTGAAGGGAAGTTGCAGTTATTGCCTGTGTAAAATATCAATGGGGTAAATAACAGGAGGTTAAGTCTTAAGTTAAAGAGCAAGAATATATAATATATAACCATCTACAAAGCAGGAGAAAACTTGATCTATCCAATGGAAAGCAGGATATGAAAACAACAACAAAAAAGTGCCATAAATGTAAGGTATAAAATGAAATGCCACAAATAAGTCCTAATGTAAGAGTAATTACAACAAATGTACAGGAATTAAATTTACCAATTAAAAGACTTACATTTTTCTAAATATTTGCTCTAATTCTGTGAAATATGGCATTGGTATTTTGATAGGATTTTCATCTATGGACATTTTAATGAGGTTAATTCTGCCTTTCCATAAACATAGTATATTCTTCCACTTATTTGTATCTTTCTCAATTTCTTTCTTCAGTGTCTTATAATTTTCTGAGTACAGCTTTTTTTATCTCCTTGGTTAAATGTATTCCTAGGTATGCTATTCCTTTTGAAGAAATTATGAATGGGATTACTTTTGTAGTTTCCATTTCTGATAGTTCATTATTGGTGTATAAAACTGCAACTGGTTTCCAGATATTTATTTTGTAGCCTGCTACTTTACTGAATTCATTTATCAGTTCTAGTAATTTTTGGTAGAATCTTTAGGGTTCTCTATATATAGTATCATGTCATCTAAAAATAGTGAGTTTTACTTCTTCCTTTCCAATTTGGATACCTTTTATTTTTCCTTCTTGTCTGATTGTTGTGGCTAGGACTTCCAGTACTATGTTGGATAAGAGTAGTGAAAGTGAACATCCCTGTCTTGTTCCTGATCTTAAGGGAAATGCCTATAGTTTTTGCCCACTGATTATGATGTTGGCTGTGGGTTTGTCATATTTGGCCTTTATTAAGTTGAGGAATGTTCCCTCTATTCCCACTTTGTTGATAGTTTTTATTATAAATGGATCCTGGATTTGTCAAATGTCTTTCTACATCTATCAATATGATCATATGATTTTTATCCTTCACTTTGTTTATGTGGTGCATCACATTATTTGATTTATAGATATTTACTAACCTTGCATCCCAGGAATAAATCCTACTTGATCATGATGTATGATCTTTTTAACATATTACTGAATTTGATTGGCTAATATTTTGTTGAGAATTTTTGCATCAATGTTTATCAGGAACACTGGACTATAATTTTATTTCTTTGTAGTGTCTTTATCTGGTTTTATAATCAGGATAATGTTGGCATCATAAAACGAACTTGGGGATCTTCCCTCCTCTTAAATTTTTTGGAGTAGTTTGAGAAGAAGGGGTGTTCTTTGAATGTTTGGTAAAATTCACCTGTGAAGCTATTGGTCAGGACTTTTGTTTGCTGTGTTGGGGTTTTTTGGTTGTTGTTTTTTAGTATTGCTTTCATTTTATTAGTTGTAATAGGTTTCTTCAGATTTTCTGTTTCTTCACAATTCAGTTTTGGAAGATTGTTTCTAGGAATTTGTCCATTTCTTATGAATTGTCCAATTTGCTGACATATAGTTTTTCATAACTTCTTCACATGCTCCTTTGTACTTCTGTGCTGTCAGTTGTCATTTCTCCACTTTTATTTCTGATTTTATTTATTTGAATTCTCTCTCTTTTCCTCTTGATGAGTCTGGTTAACAGTTTATCAATCTTATTTATCTTTTCCAAAGAACCAGCTCTTGATCCCACTGGTCCTTTGTATTGCTTTTTTTATATTATATTTCATTTATTTCCTCCCTGATCTTTATTATTTCCTTCTTTCTACTTACTTTGGGCTTCACTGAATTTTTCTAGTTCTTTCAGGTATAAAGTCAGATGGTTTGACTTTTTTCTTGTTTTTTGGTTATTTTTATTTTATTTTATTTTTGAGGTAGGCCTGCATTGTTATGAATTTCCTTAACAGCTTTGCCTGTGTCCTGGATTTTGGGATTGTTGTGCTTTTATTTTCATTTGTCTCATGGTAACTTTTGATTTCTTCCTTGATCTCACTGTTAACCTATCCATTGCTTAGAAACATGCATTTAGCCCCCATGTGTTTGTTTTTCAGTATTTTTTTCTTGTAATCAACTTCTAGTTTCATACTACTATGGTAGGAAAAAATGCTTGATATGATTTCATTCTTCTTAAATTTATCAAGAATTGTGTTCTAGCAAGTGTCTATCCTATAATATGTTCCATGTGTACTTGGAATGAGTATTCTTCTGCTATGTGGTAAAATGCTCTGAAAATATCAATTAAATCCATCTGGTCTAGTACGTCCCTTAAGGTTGCTGTTTCCTTATTGATGTTTTGTGTGGAAGATCTATACATTGATGTCAGTGGGGTGTTAGAATCCCAACTATGACTGAATTACTGTCAGTCTCTCTCTTTATGTCTAGCTTTATATATTTAGGTGCTCCTATACTGGGTGCATAAATGTTTACAAGAGTTGCATCCTCCTGCTGGATTGATTCCTTTATCATTATACAATGCTCTTCTTTTTCTCTTACAATAACCTTTGTTTTAAAGTTTATTTTGTTTTATGTAAGTATTGCTACCCCAACTTATTTTTCATTTCTATGTGCATGAAATATCTTCATCCTTTTACTTTCAGTCTGTGTGAATCTCTTATTCTGAGGAGGGGGTCTCCTGAAAACACATACATGGATCTGTGTTCTTATCCATTCAGGTACCTTAGGTCTTTTAATTGAAGCATTTAAGCCATTTACACTTAAAGTGATTATTGATAGGTATGTATTTATTGCCATGTTATTTTTACAACTATGTTTCTTTTCTTTTTCTTTTTTTGTCTTCTTAAAAAAGACCTTTTAACATTTTTTGTAATACCGGTTTGGTGGTAATTAATTTCTTTAGCTTTTTTTTTGTCTGGGAAGCTCTTTATTTCTCCTTCAATTTTTTTAAAAAAATGTTTTGATTGATTTTTTAGAGACAGAGGAAGAGGGAGAGAGATAGAAACATCAATGTGAGAGAAAAACACTGATCAGCATGCCTCCTACTGGGGATCGAGCCCACAACCTAGACATGTGCCCTGACCGGGAATCAACTGAGACCTCTCAGTCCATGGGACAATGCTCAATCTACTGAGCCACATGGGCCAGGCTCTCCTTCAATATTTTATTTATTTATTTATTTATTCATTTATTTTTCTCTTTATTGTTGAAAGTATTACAGATGTCCCTTTTTTCCCTCACTGACTCCCTCCTCCCTGCTACCATCTCCTCCCCCCCCCCCTCCCCGCACTCTCTTTCAATTTTAAATGATAACCTTGCTCGGGAGAATAATCTTGGTTGTATATCCTTGTTTTTCATCACTTTTAATATTTATGCCAATCCCTTATGGCCTGAAATGTTTCTGTTGAGAAATCAGCTGACAGTCTTATGGGAGCTCCTTGTAGATAACTGTCTTTCTCTTGCTGATTTTAAGACTCATCTTTGTCTTTAACCTGCGTCATTTTAATTATGATATGTCTTGGGGGGGGAGCTCTTTCAATTCATATTGTTTGGGACCCTCTGTGCTTCCTGGGCTTGTATGTCTATTTTCTTCACCATTTGGGGAAGTGTTCAATAATTATTTCTTCAAATTGGTTCTTGACCCCTTGTTCTCTCTCTTCCCTTTCTGGTACCCCTATGGTATGAATATTGTCCCAAAGGATCCTTAAATTATCGTCATCTTTTAAAACTCTTTTTTCTTTTTGCTGCTCTGCTTGGGTGTTTTCTGCTTCCTTGTCTTCCCAATTGCTGATTGGATCCTCTGGTTTATCTAACCTACCGTTGATTCTTTCTAGTGTATTCTTCATTTCAGATATTGTACTCATTTATGACTAGTTCTTTTTTGGGTTTCCATGTCCTCCATTATGCTTAGTGTCTCTTTGGTTAAGTTCTCACTGAGTTCATCCATTTTCCCCCTAAGTTCCCTGAGCATCGTTCTAACCATTGTTTTGAACTGTCTATCTGGTAGCTTAATTGCTTCCATTTCATTTAGCTCTTTTTCTAGGGAATTCTCCTGTTCTTTCCTTTGGGGCATGTTTCTTTGTCTCCCCATTTTGGCTGCCTCTATTCCTTTCCATGTATTAGGAATATCTGCTATGCCTCCCAGTCTTGGTAAGGTGGCCTTCTGTAGTAGGTGTTTTGTGGGGCTTAGATGCACAGTATCCCTGATCACCTGAGCTAGGTGCTCCAGGAACGTCCCTTGTGTGTGTTATGTGAACCCTCCTTTGTAGTTGAGTCTTGATTGGTTTTGGCCTATCTGTGGGTGAGGTTGTTTCTCGGATGGCTGACTATGAGAATCGGCCCTGACCATAATGTATGAACTGCTATATGGAGGCTGGAACCATGTAGCAGATTTTGCCCCAGTGGGGTCTGGTGCCTGCCAAGATTTTCCTTTAAGTATACTACTTGTAGAGCTCATTGAGTTGTGCTCTGATGTGGTCTGATTCCCTCCATTTGACGTGTTGGTTCTGGGGCTACTTATAATGAATTCCAGTGCAGGTCAATGTCAGGTGCTGCCTGTGACAAACCCTCAGTTATCTGTTTGGAGCTACAAAGCAATCCATTTTCTGGCTGCCTCTGCATGGCCTAGGTGTGCTTGGCAAGGGCCAAGATAGACACCACAGCCAGTTTTTACCAGCACAGGGTTCAGGGGCAGGTCATTCAAG